CTGATATGGGTACTTGGGTCCTCTGTAAAAACAACATGCACTCTTACCCACTGAGCCATATCTCCAGTCTCCAAAAGTTCCAGTCTCTTTAAAACATTCAGTCTTGCACTTAGGAGGCAGAAGCAGGTGGATCTCTGTGAGTTTGAGGCCATGCTGGTCTACAGAGAGAGAGACACTTAGGAGGCAGAGGCAGGTGGATCTCTGTGAGTTTGAGGCCATGCTGGTCTACAGAGAGAGAGTGCCAGGATAGGCTCCAAAGCTACACAGAGAAACAGAGAAACCCTGTTGGGGGTGGGAGGGGAGGGGATCCAGTCTTCTTCAAAGTCCAAAACATTCAGTCTTCTAAAACATCCAAAGCTTCTCTAAAATTCCATCTCTTAACTGTGGACTACTATAAAATAAAAAATAAGTAACATTCTAATTCCAAAAAGGAAGAGCCAAAATTCAACAGTGTAAAAAGTTCAGTGCTTGATGTCTGGGTCTCATCCATGATCCTCTGGGCTCCAAAGGGCCTGGACCTCTTCTCCAGTTTGGGTCTCTACAGCATCCACATCTTGTCTTCTAGGCTCAAGCTAGCTCCCCTTCACAATTGCTGTGGTGTCCTTTGGTGTGTTCTTTGGTGGCCATTCCATGGTGCTGACATCTCAAAAATGCTCTGAAGTCTTTCCCACTAGCTGTACCTTCACCAATAACCTCTCTTGGGCTCTCTTCAGGGACTGTGACCCTGCCACAAGGTGCCAAGTCTCAACTTCTCTCCATGACCCCTTCAGCCCTGGGACTTTGACTGCAAATGAAGCTACATCTTCTCCAATGGTCTCTTCTATCTTCCTACGGTGCCAAGCCTCAGATACTCTCTATAACCCCTTCATGCCTTCAAAACCAGGACCGTCTAGATGACTCTTAAGGCTCTTAGCATGAGATGCAGCCACAGCCCCTTCTGGATCACAGCTTCTGTATGCTGACCCAAAGGAACCACTTTTCAAAAGATTTCACCTCAATGATGCTGGTCTCTTCCTAACTCTCACTAATTTCCCAGCTCCACATGAGCACCAACAATTGTCCTAGCAAAGCAAAGGTTTCACTTCAGTGCTGCTGGTCTCTTGTTAATCATGGCGATTCTTCATCCCCAGCTAACCAGAATCACAAACTCTTAATTCAAAACATCATATAAATGGCCCTGATAGTCTTTACTTCCCTCTAAAACTTCACAAGCCAGTTCTCTAACATTTGCATTTCTCTCAGCATTCTTATCTTCTAAGCTCCCAGAGAACAAGCCACTAAGCTCTGCGCACTTATGATGGCTTTTCTAGTCCAAAGTTCAAATGCCAACACAATCCTCCTCAAGACTCATGGTCAGGTCTGTCACAGCAATACCCTACAACCAGTACCAATTTCTGCCTTAGTTAGCAAAGTGTTATTCCATCCAGAGCTCAACTTCTGTTTTCCTTGATGATGTTGATATCAAGATACAATGGGCAGAAGTGTTTGACATCCTGACCTAGGACTGATAACTGGTACATGGTTTCTATTAGAAACCAAACACTGGAAAATAACTGGCCATTAAGTATTAATACTCTAGGACCTAGCAACTGTATTCCTCAGGGGTATATCTTACAGAAATGCAAGCATGTGTAATTCCAAAACCAAACACAGTCATTTCACAGTGGCACTGTTTATAACTCTTTTCACCTTAACAATATTTTGTTTAAGAACAGCAGTTATGGGCTGGGGAGATGGCTCAGTGGTTGTTTTTGCAGATATGGTACTTGTTGCTCTTGCAGAAGACCTGGGTTCAATTCCCAGCACCTACATGATGGCTCCCAACTATCCATAACTACAAGTCCAGGAGGAATATAACACCCTCTTCTGACCTCAGGAGGCATCAGACATGCACAGACATACATGCCGGTAAAACATTGATACACATAAAAATGAAATAGATAAATCTTAAAAAACTTAAAAAAAAATAAAAAAGAATAGCAGTTAAAGCTGGAACAGTATCCAGTATTCAAGAGGAAGAAGCAAGCCAATCAACGAGTTTGAGGCCAGCCTGGTCTACAAAGCTAGTTCTAGGACAGCAAGAACTATACAGAAAAACACTGTCTTGAAGGAAAAAAAGAAATACTGGAAAATTTTTACCAAACTGGCAAGTTCTTCACTTAAATATTCTAAATCAATTTTTCTGGAAATATGAAAGAATTCTCTGAGAAAACAGTGATGACAGGAACTGATTTTTTTCTCATATATCAGAATTTGTCATAAAACCTGAAGAATTCAAATGCTGTAATACAAAGAACAAAAGCATAGGGCTATCTAGCAAGATGGCAGGCTCATTGTAAAGGTGATGGCTGACAAGCCTGACAACTTGAGTTCACTCTCCAGGACTCACAGAGTAGAGGAAGAGAACCGACTCCCACAAGATAGTTGTGACCTTGTTCTAGCTAGTTTTATGTCAACTTGACATAAGCTAGGCACCACACTGGCCTATGGGTAAGCATGTTGGGCATTTTCTTGATGGGAGAGCCGAGCTCACTCACTGTGGGTGGTACCACCCCTGGGATAGTGATCTTGGATTATAAAAAAAGCAGGCCAAGCAAGCCAGTAAGCAGCACTCTTTGGTGGCCTCCACATCAGCTCCTGCCTCCAGGTTCCTGCCCAGCTTGAGTCTTTGTCCTGACTTCCCCCAGTGATGGAACTGTTAGCTTAAATAAACCACTTCTTCATAAACTGCTTTTGGTCACGGTGTTTTATCACAGCCACAGAAATCCTAATGAGACAGACCTCTAAACCTGCACCATGGCACTCACATTCTTGTATACACCTCTCTCTATCTCTCTCTGTATCTCACACCACACACACACACACACACACACACACACACAATTAATTAATTAAATATACACATTTATAATACAATGTTTTTGTTTTTTTAAATAATGTGGCATTTTAAGCTGGTGAAGAACTGACCTATTGTTAGTTTTACTCACTCAGTGGCCAGTACTAAGTGTTGAAACACAACACACTTAGTCCTTTACTTTCTTTCTTGAGTTTTCCTTTCCTGGCTCTTGAAGGCTTCCTGGTAGAACTGGACTTGCCTTCACATCTGGTCCAGATTCCACCTTTGAGGCTGCCTGACCTCTCAACAAGGGAAAGCTGTATTTACTTCAAATATGACTTTAGATGTTTTTCTTTTATGATTTTGCAACTTCTGTTTGTTTTTTTTTTTTTTTTTTTTTTTTTTAGACAGAATCTCACTAAGTAGTATTGGCTGGCTGGAACTCACTATGTAGACCAGGTGGCACTCTGAACTTGGCAGTGATCTTCCTGCCTGTTTCCCAGAGTGCCGGTAGTGCCAGAACCCACTACCACTGCTGGTCCGATTCTGTACTTCTATTGGAATCGGTATCAGGTACTCCATAAGTTCATTTGCAAACACCAACCTTAATTGCCACCTATATTTCCTTTAACTATGTGAGTTCTAGCTGATTTTGCAGAAACGGGAAAGTCAATGCTTTCTTTACCTCAAACTCAAGAAGGATGCATTTCATGTGGAGGTCAGTTGGTCCTCACTTTACATCAATTTTGTTTTTGTTTTTGTTTTCCGAGACAGGGTTTCTCTGTGTAGCTTTGGACGTGCAAGGGCTGGGTAGAAACCACTGTCCACAGCTGAGTCCTGGAGGGTTGCTCAGACGCTTTCACAGGGTGCCACCTGGTGGACATCTGGCAACCCTTACCAACGTCAATGAGGAAACCAGAAAAAAAGGATCCAAACCCAGGCTGTTTACTCAAAACCCCTGTGTGAACTCTAAAGTTGCTTTCATTATTTGATGACTACACATACCTGGATGAGGTCCAAGATCCCAAGTTCACTCTCTGAGGAATCCACACAAAATACAAAGTACAAGGTGGCATAGTGCCGGTAAATCAGTTTGTAGTCAGCACCACCAATGAGACTGTGGAAGACAGTAGAGAACAGTTGAGAATCAAATCTGCAGTAAACATATCAGAGAACCCCTGCACCAAAGAATGAAAATGGGCCTAGCAAAGAGAAAGGCTGAGCTCTCAGAGCAGGCACTTACCACATGAACTACAGCTAAGTTAGGAAGAGGAACTTAAAGCCACTCGACTTCACCCTTTACCTTTCTCTTTACCTATCTTGCCAGTGACCCAAACATCAGAGTGATGGCTTGGGGCTGGAACAATACCTCAGGGGTTAAGAGCACAGACTGCTATTCCAGAGGACCCAGGTTCAATCCCAACACCCACATGGCAGCTGACAACTGTCCATAACTCTGTTCCAAAGGTTCTGACAACCACACAGAGATATACATAAAATAAAAATTAAAAAAAAAAAATTCAGAGTGATGGCTGAAGCCCAGTAATGCAAGTGTTTCCCAAAGAGAACTAGGTGTCTCCCTGAATACACATGCTAAGAACAGGTAACATGGGTCTGGTGTAGTGGTGCACACCTTTTTAGTCCCAGCACTCGTGAGGTAGAAGGCAGACCTCTGAGTTGAGGGCCAGTCTGGACTATATAGAGAAACCCAGTCTTTTTTGTTTGTTTGTTTGTTTTTTCGAGACAGGGTTTCTCTGTGTAGATTTGGAGCCTATCCTGGAACTAGCTCTGTAGACCCGGCTGGCCTCGAACTCACAGACATCTGCCTGCCTCTGCCTCCCGAGTGCTGGGATTAAAGGCATGTGCCACCAATGGCAGGAAAGAAACCCAGTCTTAACAACACCCCCTCCCACACACACCAGGAAAAAAAGAACAGGTTAGGCTACATCAGGTAGCCACTGACCCCTGAATGTACCAGAAGAAACAAAAGCAATAAAGGCCACGCAGCATGGATCTGGGGTTGGCAACCTGAAGCTGATGGTTTACCTTCCACCTTCTAAGAAATTACAGATGTTGTCATCTCGCTTGAGGACCAGATGGAAAGTCTCTCGAACAATCTGCTGTTGAATTTCTTCTGGCTATGGAACAACAACAGAAAGCCGAGTCAGGGGCAAGTGAGCAAAAGTGTGCCTATCAATGAGGACGGCTATGTAAAGGAGGGTTCCACCCTGGCAACAATTGGAAAAGATCACATGTAAGCACTTGGAGAGCAGAGAAGGACTTTGGGAAGGAAAGGCTACTGGGATTATGGGTATTGACCTAGGTATCTCAGCTACAAACCACTGCTATCTTACAGACAAGCTGCAAGTCAAACAAGGAATCAGAATCCATAAATTTACAAAGACCCTCAAGTTCTGTTTTGTTTGCTTGATTTGGTCTTTGAAACAGGGTTTGTGAAGCCTTGGCTGTCCTGCAACTTGCATCACAGACCAGGCTGGCCTCCAACTCACAGAGACCGGCCAGTCTCTCCCTCCTGAGTGCTGGGATTAAAGGTGCATACCACCACTGCTCTGATTTTTTTTTTTTTTAAGAAATAGCAAAGTTCCAGCACTGTGTGAAGGTCAAGATGTAATCATGTACATGTCTCAAAAATAAATTGGTGATTTTTTTTTTACTCTAATACCAGTACTACATATAAGATGTTGTTTTGCTCACCAACAATTGGGAAAAACAGAAAATGATGTATTCACAGATCTGAATCTTGAGCAACTAAACAAAAGTACAAATAAACTTTTTAAATTAATAGTCATTATAATCTTGGGAAACCTCAACTGTGATGTGAACGACTCACTTATAAAGGGGGTAGGGGAGGGGCAGAGTAGTAGTACTTTAATATCAGCAAGAGGCCGGTGGATCTCTATGAGCTCAAGGCCAGTCTGGTCTACATAGTAAATTCCAAGTCATCCAGGGATACGAAGTGAGACTCTGTCTCAAAACAAACAAAAAGGATAAGAGAGAAACCGGACAGAAACTAGGTAGTTAAAAACTCTAGAAGAGAGAGCAGTAGTGTTGGTAAATGCCTTTAATCCCAGCATTTGGGAGGCAGAGGCTGGCAGATCTCTGAAAGTTCAAGGCCAGCCTGGTCTACACAGTGAGTTCCAAGACATCCAAAGCTATACAGAGAAACCCTGTTTTAAAAACCAAAACCAAACAAACAAAAACCCACAACAACTCTAGATCAGGAGCTGGAGAGTTGGTTCAGCCATTAATTATTGTTCTTACAGAGGACCCAGGTTCAATTCCCCATAGTCACAGGCCACAGGATGGCTGACAACCAACCATCACATCAGTAAATCCAGTTCCAAGGGATCCAAAACCCTTTTCTGACTTCCAAGGGCACCAGGTACACGTGTGGTAGACACACACATCCCCAGGCAAAACACTCACACACATAAAATAAGTCAATTTTAAACAAAAACCTATTAATGTGAGATGGCTTTCTCATACCATAATGTGTGTTGAATCAACAGCCAGGGATGCTGTTGAAACACGGGTTCTACTTTAATACGCCAGGGCCAGGGCCTGAGCCTGCAGTTCTAACAAGCTCCCACAGGACACCAGTGCTTCCAGTCTTGGGGGACCACACTCTGGAGCACAGCAGAAGTAAATGTTCAGCTTGAATCTTCTTTAGTCAGGAAAACACATTTTAAAAAATGAATCCCTTTCTTTCTCCATCACTGCACTTAGCTTTAAGATGGCCATTATTTAAAAACTACTTAGTATGGGGGTGGGAACAACACAAAAATCAGGAATAATCTCTAAGGAAGTGGCTGGCTCAGTGTGGGCTCTAAAGGCTCTCAGAATCTACTGAATCCATGGATGCAAACTTGCTAATCGCTGGCCCACAAATTAGAACAAATCAATCACTATCTTCCTGGTTTCCATGTGAACACACCAAGCTCACATTTGCTAGTATGTTGTCAAAGATTAACTCTGTGTGCTCAAAAGCACAAAGCACACTAAGCATCAGCACTGTTTTAAAATGACAAAAACATGATTTCAACGGAAGCCCCTCATCCAACCACAGGTGGAAGTGGCAAAAATGGGGATGTGGTGGTGATATGAACCAATAAGACCTACTAATTCCAAACGGGAAACTGCAGACTGCTTATGTGCCCCAGTCAGTTTAGCAACCCTTCCTATCTTTTAGCACATTGCAATTTTCAAGGGACTTTCACTCAAGAGGTTCTTAAACAATTCTATCATCTTCAAAGATATACAAATAGCCAATAAGCATAAGAAAAGACAGGTGCTCAACATCCTTAGTCACTATGGAAACAGACATCAAAACCTTTTAAAAGGAGATTCATTTTCATCCACTAAAATGCCTTTAATTAAAGCCAACATGGGTAGGATTATATAGCTCAGTGGTAGAAAATTGCCTAGAAGGAGGGAGGCACTGAACTCACTCCCTAGTTCAGAAAACAAAAACAAACCAAAAAGACAGAAATTGGAGGAGATATGAAGAAACTGGAATTCTGATACATTGTTGATAGTAGTGTACAACCACTTGGAAAACACTTTGGCAATTTCTTAAAATGTTTACCATTGGGGCTGGAGAGATGGCTCAGCCATTAACTGAGAGGTTGACTGCTCTTCCAGAGGACCTGGGTTCAATTCCCAGCAACCACACGGTAGCTCACAACTCTCTGTAACTTCAGTCCTAGAGGACTCAACATACAGAGACATACATACAGGCAAAACACCAATGCACATAAAATAAAAATAAACTACTTAAAAATGTCTACCACTGAGTTATCATGTGACCTAATGATTCTGCCACTAAAAGAAATGAAAAGCTATATCCACACTAAAACTCAACACATGAATGATCACAGTAGCATTATTTATAAAAGCTAGATACAGCAAATGATGGGAAATAAAACTATGAAATGAACAGCACAGTGGCATGCCTATAACTTTGGGATGTGGAAGGCTGTGGTAGAGGATCTTTTCTTCTCTTTAGGTGGCTGGTTGTTGGATTTGTTTTCATTGTTATAAGGTCTTCACTACGTACCCAAGGTTGGCCTTGAACTCACAATCCTCCTGCCTCAGTTTCCTAAGTGCTGTGATTATAGACCTCTGCCACCAGGCCCAGGTGAACAGAGGGATCTCCAGTTCCAGGCCAACATGAGATACCTAATAAGAACTATCTTCAAAATAAATAAAGAACACATTTATACACGTGGTTCAATACAGATGAAACTTTAGGAAGTCTTTATATGTAAAAGATTTTTTAAAGAACATACATTATTATGATTCTGTTTAGATAAAACGCCCAAAAACTTGAAGAGAAAGTAAGGGCTTGCTTATGGCCAGGGAGTTGACTGCTAACAGGGAGGAGTTTCTTTAAGGGAGAGATAAAAAGGTTCTCGGGCTGGAGAGATGGCTCAGAGGGTAAGAGCACTGACTGTTCTTCCTGAGGTCCTGAGTTCAATTCCCAGCAACCACATGGTGGCTCACAACTACCTTGAATGAGATCTGGTGCCCTCTGCCGGCATACAGGCAGAAGACTGCATACATAATAAATAAATAAAATCTTAAAAAAAAAAAGTTCTCAAATTGTGATATGGTAAGTTAACTGTATAGTCATTTGTAATCTTAGTAACTTAGAAAATAGGAGAAACAGAGCCGGGCTTTGGTGGCGCACGCCTTTAATCCCAGCACTCAGGAGGCAGGGGCAGGTGGATCTCTGTGAGTGCCAGCCTGCTCTCCAGAGTGAGTGCCAGGATAGGCTACAAAGCTACATAGAGAAACCCTGTCTCAAAAAACCAAAAACAAGGGAAAGAAAGAAAGAGAGAAAGAAAGAAAGAAAGAAAATAGGAGAAACAAATGCACACCCAAGTTGAACTTATATTAACTGCTCTTTTTTTAAAAATGTAATTTGAAAATCTTATTTTAAAAAGCAAATTATTTATTTATGATAAAAAATAAATAAAAATCCGAGAGGCATTTCTCAGCTTACCAACCCTCACAAGAGTGGGAAAGGTGGAGCCGAAGCCTGAATGGTTTGATTCCATTCCCTCTCGGGTTTAACCAGTCTCTCAGTTATGTTGGGGGACATGAGAAAATAACCAAGTTTGCGTTTTCACAAAGGAAATGTTTGTAGAAAATGAACATTGCAGCCTACCGGTGGTGGTGCACGCCTTTGATCCCAGCACTCGGGAGGCAGAGGCAGGCGGATCTCTGCGAGTTCGAGACCAGCCTGGTCTACAAAGCGACACAGAGAAACTGTCTCAAAAAAAACAAAAAACAACAACAAAAAAAAAAAAAAAGGAAAAAGGAAATGAACATTGCTGAGCCATCTCGTGACAGGCATTTGCTTAGTTATTTGGTTTCTTGAGATACGGTCTGGTGTAGCTCAAGCTGGCTTTAAACGGTCTTATCTTAGGTACTCTGAGGTCCTCATCTAGCGCCTCCACCTCCTGGGCTTCTAGGTGTGCACCACTACATCTGACAGCTTAGAATATACTTCATTTACCCCCAATTTTTTAAAGACACTTTCTGAAACCTTACTGGGTAAAGGATAGCCCAACCCTAATAAGTCCTAGCCAACGCTGAAGCAAATAATTCCAGGAAAGAACTTCTCCCCACCTTGAGAAAACAAAAACTTAGAAGAACCCAACGACCCGACCATCACAAAACTACCCTCATTGATTAAAAAAAAAAAAAAGGCTTAGAGACAGTGGTTTTGTCGCCCAAGATCTCAATGAGCTACACTGTGTACCGTGTCTGGCCTACGACCCAAGGGAAAGTGTCACGAAGCACAGGAAAGCCGGGACCCAGGGAGGGTAGAGAAGACCAGGGGTGGTGGGTCATGCACGGTGCTGGAGCCCGAGGTGTGGGCGAGCGCTGCTTCGAGCCGAGGGGAGGGGAATGGACGCGGGTGCGTGACGGGCCGGGCCGCACTCACAAAACGCTGGTAGAAGCGGACCAGCCGCGGCTTCCCATGGTTGTTGAAAACCAGAATCGCCTGAATCATCTTTGCTGGTCCCGCTTCTCTCGGCACCAGCTGCTCCAAGAAAGCTCCCACTTCCGCCACAACACAGGTACTTCCGGTTAGTGTCCTGCTGAAAACTGCCCCCGGAAACCTACCGTGGTGCCCTGGGGTCCGAGCACCTACAGGTCCGGCCGCTCTGGCGCCCTGGAGAGGCTCGCCTGGGGAACGAGGGTGTGGAAGCCGAGGAGCAAGGTCGCCTTGCCCAGCCTGGTTACCAATCCGAACCTGGCTAGGACGTGAATCCCGGACTGGGCCCCTCACTCTGGTTCCATCGCGGAGCCAACCGCGTCGGTAACCCGTATCCAGGGCGGCCACTCCTTCCAGCAGCTGCACCAGTTTGAGGGACCAGGAAGGAGCTTGTGTGGCTTCTTCTCCATCCCTAACCTTGGGCCAGCAAAAACTGGGCCTTTATTTTTCAGTATTGCTGCAGTGAATTAGGCAAAAGTTTAATCGTGCATATGGTCAGTCTCTCCTTTAGATGGTGAAAGTTGAAATCACAAGGGATCATTCATGCTATCCCATTCAAAAGGTACAGTTGGTCTCGAACTGGTAATACCTTTTGTTTTCTTCTTTATTTATTTATATGTTGGTTTTTGAAACAGGTTCACACTATGTAGCCCCGGCTGGTCTCGAACTCAGAAATTCGCCTGCCTCTGCCTCCTAAGTGCTGGGATTAAAGACTTGCACCACCACTTGCATTCTGGTGGTTAAAGTAAAAATTCAAATGGCAATTGCCTTGAAGTGTGACAAAATGATTCAAATGTTGAGCAGGAATATCAAAGACAATTCTAAACAGGGTGACAAGAAGGAACTAGCTTTAAAACCACTCAAACCAACTAGGATGGTTTGAAGTATGTTAACTTACACGTTTATTGGGGAGAAGACACGTACAACCTGTAATGGTGTGTGTGTATGGAAGTCCAAGAACAACTTTGGGAGTCAGTTCTCTCAGGCCGTGGGTCCCAGGGATCTAATGTAGATCACCAGACTTGACAGTGCCTTTACCTGCTGAGCCACCCCGCAAACCCCAAATCTATTAAAGAATTAAAAGGAGATATATTGAAGTATAACACAACAATCTTACTAATTTTTTTTCTGAGACAGGGTTTCTCTGTGTAGCCCTGGCTGTCATGGAACTCACTCTGTAGACCAGGCTGGCCTGGAACTCACAGAGATCCTCCTGCCTCTGCCTCCCAAGTGCTGGGATTAAAGGTATGTGCCACCACTGACCAGCTGTAGGAAAATAATTTTAAGGATTTATTTTAAATACGTGTATGCCTCTCTCTCTCTCTCTCTCTCTCTCTCTCTCTCTCTCGTGTGTGTGTGTGTGTGTGTGTGTGTGTGTGTGTGTGTGTGTGTGTGTGTTTTCATATGAGCACAAGCATTCAAGTACCCTCAGAGACCAGAAGAGGGCACCTTGGAGCTGGAGTTACAGGAAGCTTAGCCGTGAGCCACTTAATAGGAGTGCTGGGAGCAACTCCAATCCAAAAAATTGTGTGTAACCTCTACATAGTTGCTGCAGCACATATGCACCTATGCTCACACAAGCACAATAGTAACAAATAATGTGTAACGATGATAAAGCTAGGGATGTAGCTTTATCATCGCAGGTGCTAGAGTGCTTCAGAAAGCCTGGAGCTCCGGCTTCAGCGCTATGTGAAGGCTGGTGTGATGGCACATGCCTGTAATACTTGGGAGGTAGAGACAGGAGGGGGAGGCAGAAGTTAAAAGTCATCAGCCTTCAAAGGGAGTAACTAAAGAAATAGATGCAGGGGCCAATGAGATTTCTGAGCAGGTAAAGGGCAGGAGGGGGGGGCAGAAGTTGAGAGTCATCAGCCTTCAAAGGGAGCAACTAAAGAAATAGATGCAGGGGCCAATGAGATTTCTGAGCAGGTAAAGGCACTTTGGATCCTCAGAGCCCACATGATGGGAGAACAAACTTCAGCAAGTTGTTTTCTGACCTCCATGTGTGTATAATCCCAACACTCAAGAGGCAGAGGCATGCGGATCTCTGTGAGTAGCCTGGGCTACGGAGCGAGTTCCAAGGCAGCCAGGGATACACAGAGAAACCCCATCTTGATAAATGAACAAACAAACAAAAAGTAGATGCAGGAAATAACAAAATTAATTACACTATAAACAGGAGAAAAGGAAAATTAAAATATATTTACAATTTTTTCACCTCATCAAACATTTGTTCAAAATCTTCATCCCCAGTTGTGGCAATAGTATGATATCAGTTCTCTCCTCCATTGGTACTGAAATTGCAGTCTAGAACAACCCTTTTAGGAAGCAACTTGGCAATATAACAAGAATTTTACAAAAGATGCCTAGATTCCTTGTGACTCTCGATACCTGCTCCTAAATAATTCAAACCACAATGAGAAGCCAGCTGTAGTGATTAACACCTTTAATCTCAGCACTGTGGAAGCAAAAGCAGGCACATGAGCCTGTGATCAGCCTGGTCTAAACAGTCTCAAAAAATATGACTGTGCACTGACAGTGACTACACAGTAACAATGGGGAAGGGGAAGGCCAATTTTACATGAAGACATAGTAAAGAACCAAGAGAATGGCACTTATCAAGAGGACAGTGAAATTGTGGGTCTTTCCCACCTATTCAGGGTACCTAGATGAAACTCCAGTAGTCCCATCCAGTCCCATTCCCCCCCACCCCTCCCGCACAGCTCTGAGCCAAGCACCCTTCTATCCTGGGAAGAGGGTTTAAACTCAGGTTCTCTAACCACTAAGCCTGAAGTCTGTTGTTGAAGCTCTGGGAATCAAACTCGGCTTCAGGCTTGATGGGAATCACTTTTACCCAATGAGCCATCTTGCTGTCCCTTTTATTTTGTTTGTTTGCTTGTATGGTTTTTGGCTTTGCTTTTATGAAGTGTGGTCTCAATCTATAACCTAGCCTAGCCTCAAACTGTTGGGAACCCTTCTATATTACTGCCTCCCAAGGACTGGGAGCCACCATGTCCTGTTCTTATCTACAGAACACATGGTTTCCCTTCCCCCAGGAGTCTAATTTCAGCCTAGCCTCAGGGTGGGCTCCTGTAAACAACTGTATGTACCCAACACTTCCACTCACCAGAGTCTGACTCCTTCCTCTCTCCTGGGGCCTGTTGATTCTGCTCCCTAAACACCTCTGGGCATGAGCCCTTTCCTCACTGTGTCTCTGCTGCAGAGCAAACTGACAACCTCTCATCTGACTGTGCAGCAGACTCCAGCAGAAGCTCACTGCCCCCATTTCCTCTCACCCAACTGAGCTTCAAAATAGATGAATCAGCCCTTACCTCTCCACCGGATCAGTAGGATAAAGTCCTGAAAGCTTTAGTAAGCATGAAATTGCCATGCCCAGTATCTAGCATCATCTCAAACATGCCTCCCATGCTATGTTACCCTCTGAACTCCAGCTACAATGAATGAACTTTCCTTCCTTAAAGTCCAAGACCCAGAGCCCTTTGCCTCAGGACAGTGAAGGGCTGGCCTGTGCCAGGGTTTCCACAGAGCTGTAGGCTGTAAGATGTCCCAATGTTCCCAGATACCCTATTTGTAGCAGCATATCCAAAATAGGATAATATTTTGGATATTTGCCCTTGTATCCAAAAACCTTTTGTGTCCCAGGAAGCAAGGACAATGGAAGAGACAAGAGCTTTGCCTCTGGAAGCTCTGGACTGGAATCCTGGATCCTCCACTTAGGAACTGGGAGAGTTGTCTAACCTCCCTGAACCCCTCTTCCTTCTCTGTAGCTTGCATGTGGAAGCAAAGGAGTTCAGTAATCTAAAATGTGGGCTTTGATCCCAGCATTCAGAAGGCAGAGGCAGGCAGAAATCTGTGAGTTTAAGGCCAGCCTGGTCTACGTAATAAAGTTGAGGTTAGCCAGAGCTACATAATGAAACCCTGTCTAAAAAAAAAAACAAAAACAAAAATGGATGTGTGGGGGAATGTGGACTTTAGGACTGGGGATGTAGCTCAAAGCCCTGAGTGTGAGCTCCAGCATCACATAAAACAGGCATGGGGATGTGTGCTTATAACCCAGCACTGGGGAGGTAAAGGCAGGAGGATCAGAAGGTCAAGGTCATCCTTCGCTTCGTAGCAAGTTCAAGGTCAGCCTGAAATATATGAGATCCTCCCTCAAAAACAAAGAAAGACAGACAGAAAGGGAGAGAAAGGAAGGAAGGAAGGAAGGAAGGAAGGAAGGAAGGAAGGA